TTTACGGGGAGTCGCTGCAGCAGCGATACGGCGTCGGGTTTACGGGGAGTCGCTGCAGCAGCGATACGGCGTCGGATTTACAGATCAGGAGGCCTTACTGAGTCACTTTGAACAAATCACTTACCCTCTCGCCCTTTTTTCCTCTTCAGTGAAATGAAGGGTTGGATTTCCGGGGATCATAAATGGAGGTCCATAGGTCATTTCTTCTGGCAGACTGTTTATTAGCATAGTATTTGACAGGAATTTGACTTTGAATGCTTTTAGGGGGAGAGCGCCCTCTCTAGGTCAGCACCGGCCCTGCTGCTCTCCCTCCTTTATTTTTTCACTCATTTTGTGTTACCTCCCTGGCCCGATAGGCACTTGTTAATGAGTAGTCACTGGGCTAGTTATGTCTAATATATTAATTATGGTTTTTTTCTTTCTTTTTCTTAAAGATTTGTAGAAGATAAAATGTGGGTTACATTTTTGGAGGGAAGCTCTGCCTTGAATGTTCTGAACCTAAATGGTAAAGAGGTAATGTAGCATTTGTCGATCTTAAACCATTCAGAAGTTAAGCATCTGTATGTTCTTAGAGATGTGCAACAAAATTATCTAAATGTGTTTTTAGTTCAGGCAGATTAAGCCATTATGACATGCGTGAGGAATTATAGGTTAAATATTTTTTATTTAGAATAACTTTCTGATTAGCCTAGGGTTATTTTGATCCTCCCTAGAGATATTAACCATTAATAGAGATGAAGTGAAAATGGAGCCCTGGTGGTGCGGTGGTCAAGAGCTCGGCTGCTAACCAAAAGGTTGGCAGTTCAAATCCACCTGCTACTCCTTGGAAGCCTTATGGGGATGTTCTACTCTGTCTTATAGGGCTGCTATGAGTCGGAATCGACTTGAAAGGCGGTTTGGGTTTTTCAGTTTTAAGAAGAAAATGTGTGTCGCTTAATATGATTTCTATTATTATATTACATTTCATTATATAAAGAGTTTAAAATTGAATTGAGAATAGATATCCTGGCTCATCTGTATAGTAGAAAGAATTTCTATCAAATGAAGAAAATGCTTTATTTATAACAAGGGGACTGGTGCTCATTATTACTAGGAACTTGTTTTATTGACTTGGGTCATGGTGCCCAGGTACTTCATTTAAGCTCAGGTAACATGATTCCCATAGATAACAGTCCCAGTGAGAGAAATTTTCATTAGTTGGAAATATTCCTAACCTGTGATTCAGAATATCGTTGATGGGGGAGTTTACATGGGTGGCCTGGAAACAGTTCTATGAAATGGTGTGTCTATCAATTTTTTCTGAATTTTTAGACAAATCTTAGATTTCTAAGTATCTGGTCACTAGACAGAAGAACTGAAATCCAGGCTTCATTTCTCCAGCAGCGGACAGCTGTACGGGTTTCCTAAGCTTTAGTTGTGGTGAAAATATGCATAACAAAACATACACCATCTCAACAATTTTTACATGTATAATTCAGTGACATTGATGACATTCTTCAAGTTGTGCGACTGTCGTCACTGTCCTACCACAGGCTTTTTTAAAGGGAGAGTCGGGAGCAGTGTTTAGACTAGTTAAAAAATTCAGTGTATGTAAAAGAATTACGTTGAATTGCGTCTAACTCGATTAACTTCTACACCATTTCATAGTACAACCAAGGCAGCCATTTTATTCCAAAATAATCTATTTTTGTGCCAATAAATCTTTTTATCCCTTTTTATTCAACTAGTTATTGGGTCGGACTATAACTATTACTTTAAAAAGTCCAGACTGGATCAGAACTTTGGAGGAAGAAATGAGTTTGGAGAAAATTAGCGTACCCTTGCCATCATCAACCAGCTCGACCCTGCTTGGTGAAGATGCAGAGGTGACGGCAGATTTCGATATGGAAGGTTTGTTTATTGAACACATTTACTTGTGTGGTTCTAGATGAGTTTCCTTTCCATCTGTCTTAGTCATCTAGTGCTGCTATAACAGAAGTATCACAAGTGGATGGCTTTAACAAAGAGAAATTTATTTCCTTACAGTAAAGTAGCCTGAAAGTCCAAATTCAGGGTGTCAGCTCCAGGGGAAGGCTTTCTCTCTCTGTTGGCCTTCTTATCAGTGTTCCCCCAGACTAGGAGCTTCTCTGCTCAGGGACCCTGGTCCAAAGGATGCGCTCTGCTCCTGCACTACTTTCTTGGTGGTATGAGGTCCCCCTGTCTCTCTGCTCACTTCTCTCTTTTATATCTCAAGAGATTGCCTCAGGACAAAATCCAGTCTTGTGGATTGAGTCCTGCCTTACTAACATAACTGCTGCCCATCCTCCCTTATTAACATCATAGAGGCAGGATTTACAACATACAGGAAAATCATACAATACCGGCAATCATGGCCCAGCCAAACTGATACACACATTTTTGGGGGGACATAATTCAATCCATGACACCATCTATCAAGTCTTACTGTCCAAGTTCATCCTTCTCCTCCTCCTTGAAGCACAAATGGCAGTTTTTGTTAGGTTTTGTTTTGCATAGTGTTGTGTTGATTTTGCTGATACCGACACTTTAAACGCATTTTCGATTTTGCCATTCACACATGCAGACATTTACAAATGTCAGTTTACATTCTTGTATGACAAGGGCACAAATTGGTATTATTAGTGTCTAGTTGCCCTCTACTAAATGCAGTTAAGGTAAAAAAAAAAAAAAAAAGTTCAGAATGGGTGTTCTGATACTAGAAATGAGTTCAAAATAGTTACTACAAAAGAAAATATGTTCCAAAGTAATTTTGAAAGATTCAAAGTGCCAGGAACACATGCATTTGAAACTGAACCAACCCATGTAAATGTAGCCATTTTAGGTTTGGAGTTTGGGACAGGTTATCTGGATATAATCATTTCCTTAAACGTGGTAAGATGCATTTGCTTTCTAATGCCGTCTTGTTCTAGCATATTTTTCATTAAAATGCATATCTTATTTTATAAAATGACACACATCATATGGTATACCCTGTACAGCTAGGTGTTGCATTTAAGAGTTGAAGACCTTACAAGGTTAATCTCCAGTTTTCAAAGTTCTTCATTCATTTACTAGTCCACGCATGTTTATGTAGTACCTTTTATGTGCCGGGTACATGCTAGATGCTGGAAATTCAACAGATGTGGTCCTTGCCCTTACAGAACTCACAGCTTAGTGGGTCTTAGACACAAGCAAGCAGGCGATTATAATAAAGGGATGTAAATTCGATGATGAAGGGTGTTTGGGAGCTCATGGGAAAGTTACTTAACCTGGAATTGGGAAGTTGGGAAAGACTTCCCAGAGGAATTGAAATGTAACTGGAGAATCTGAAGGCCGAGCAAGAATTGAATGAAAGAGGGTGGAGAGGAGTGATCCAGGCAGAAGGTGAAGGCACAGAGGGCTGGGGTGGGGCGGGGAAGTGCTAAAGTCCATTATACGATTATATGAGTGTAGCTTCTGAGGGGTACATGAAGAAGGAAGGCTGCAGGAGGCAGGCGTGCGCACGGGGATGGAGTTGGTTTTGAGCATGTTGACTCTGAAGTGTCCGAGAGTCAGTCAGGTGCAGGTGGTGGCTGTGGGGTGCTCCCGAGGTGGCTCTAGGTGAAGCCATGGGCATTTGTTGGATTGTCCAGTAGGATTGTACAGAGAAGGGAGAGAACTAGTCCTGATCAAGTCCTGCAGAACACGGACTTTAAGCAGAATGCAGCTGTCTGTAAAAGGAAAAAGAAGAGAAACAACCAGAAACATCAAAGAACCGGAAGAATAGAATCCAGAACACCAAACCCATTGCTGTGGAGTCAATTCTGACTCACAGCGATCCTATAGGACAGAGTAGAACTGCCCCATAGGGTTTCCAAGGCTGTAAATCTTTACAGAAGTAGACTGCCACATCTCCCTCCCTCAGAGCAGCTGGTGAGTTTGAACTGCTGACCTTTCAGTTAGCAGCTGTGTGCTTAACCACTGTGCCACCAGGGCTCCTCAGGAGAGTATAGTGGCAGAAAAATAAGCAACGAGAGCATAAAAAGTAGGGAGTAGTCAGTGATGTCCTACCACAGGGACGAGAAGAAATTAAGACCCAGACTTGTCCTTTGGATTTCATACCAGGAGGGGGGTTGTTGATGACATTGACGAGGGTAATTGCTTTGGCGCAGCGAAGCCAGGTAGTGGTAAACTGACGTACAGGTGGAAGGTGAAGAAGTGGAGAGTGCCTGCGGACAGCTTTTTAAAGAGGTTTGGCTGAGATGGAGGCAAGGGGAGGGGAAGAAGAGGGTCATTTCTCCAGCGGGATCGAGGATCCAAGAAGTGTTGTCTTTCAATGAGAGAGGCCTGAGAATGCTTCATGCTGATGGAAAAGCGCCGGGAGAGGAGAAAGGCTGACGAGGTTGGGGAAGGGCAAGGCAGAACAATCGCAGAGCAGGGTTGCTGAGAAGTACCTGAGTGCCGGCTCTGGGGCAGCCTGTTGAAGGGGGCTCCCATCTTACGACTTCTCTTTTCTCTGTGAAGCTTAGAGGTGCAGTTACCTGCTGGAGTGGGGCACCTCACAGTTTCCATAGAGTTGAAATGGTTCTAGATACAGCTCCTGTGGAGAAGGGGTGAGGGGAGAGCCAACCGTGGATGGCCAGGCAGCTTCGAAAGCCCAGATGAGGCTGAAATGACACATTTAGTTTGACTGCGATCTTCAGGATCGTGAGGTTTCCTTTAGCAGCAGCGGCCCAGGTGCAGTGGCAGAGAGTAAACGGTGGCATTGATCCAGGGCTGGGGTTTTGTCAGGCAGGTGTGATGAAAGAGGAGTGACATAGGGAAATGGTTGAGGTGAAGAATCATAGAATCTAAAGACATATATAGAAGCGAACAAAGTCAGGTGCAGACCAAAAGTAGAGGGATTCTCGATCCTGATGAGGTCAGCAGATCAAAGAGAGTAGCCGAGGGAGAGAGCTGAAAGGCTGGAGGTGGTGGTCCCCATGAAGCATTTGAGTGTATTATTTCAGAGACAGTACAGTTCTGAGGGGCAGCCATGTCTGGGGTGTGTGTGTTTGGACTGGAGGTGATGTCAGTAAGCATAAGACAAGCCATTTATTTAGGTTGTTGAATGGGCTGGCCCCCTGGACTTTGACATTCCACAGAAAGATGGTAGGACCCAACTTTTACCTCTTACTGTCTGCTTAGTCCTGTGAACAGGCTCCGGTGACCAGAAGGATGGAGGTTGGGGATTATTGCAACAAGTGGGGTGGACAGTGTTACATAAATTCCTGATGGCATAAGCCTCGGAGAAGCCGACCTTTTTGTTGGTGGTTGGAAGATTAATGTTCTGGAATTAGGTTGCAAGGGGTGGCCTGACCCCAATTTCTAACCCTGAGGTACGTGGGATGGGGAGACCCTCAGGGAGAGTCAGTGTTCAGCTAAAGCAAAGCAGGTGTACATGGATGAGGAGAGCAGGTGTCCGTGGGTGAGGGGAGCAGGTGTCCGTGGGTGAGGGGAGCAGGTGTACATCAGTGAGGGGAACGTGGGGGGAAGAGGAGTGAGGAGACTGAGGGAAGGTCTATGATGGGGGCTGTCTGAGAGCCAGCCCCAGGGTGGGGTAGAGGGGGTCCCCTAGGGTACAGTAGAACGGTTTGGGAGGGGGAGCTTAGTGTTAACTTCTGAGTCATCACTGAGATACCTGCTCGGAAATTTAAAAGCCCATTTAGTCAGCCCGGCTGTTGGTTAGTCGTTGCTCTGAGAAGACAGACTATCTTACGACCTTTTCTCTGAGAGGGTTTGTATGAATTGTAGTTTTAGATATATATACGTATATATGTATTTTGTTTATACATGCCTACGTGCTTATTCCATGTGTGTTTGCAGTGTAACATTAACACGTTTATTCTGTGTGTTTAACCCTTTAAAACTTGGTTTGGGAAAAAAAATCTCTGAGAGCATTAAAATGGTATCTTGTAAACCCTGCTTTTCCCAGGTGATGTTGATGACTACAGCGCGGAAATAGAGGAAATCCTTCCTCAGCATCTCCAGCCGGCTTCGAGCTCTGGCCTGGGCACTTCGCCCAGCTCCTCACCGCGGACCAGTCCCTGCCAGTCACCTACCATAGCAGAGGGTCCTGTACCGCCCCCTCCCGTCAGACCAAGTCGAGCGCCGTCCAGAACTCCGGGGCCTCCAAGTTCACAAAGTGTGTATTTGATTTGAAAGTTGTGTGTGACTTGCTTTTAGCCAGTGTGTTTGATGTCATCTGGTCAGGTCTCCAATGCAGTTGAGTCTTCTTTAAGGAGCCACTGTGGCTTTACTTCTCCACCCATGTGCTGCAGGGTGTACCCTGTGTTCTGTGCATACAAAGGAGGAGGGTTTGCAGATAATAAGTCCTCACTGGAGAAGACACTCATCATGGCTGTCAGTAGATGAGAAATTTCAAATCCATTTTCTGTGTGGTCAGCTTTGTCCACCTCTTAAAACGGGCAGTTTTCTGTTGTGACGGTAAATGGCAGCTAATAACAGCAGCGACGTGGTGAGAACACTTTGCCGTGAATCTCATTGATTGGGTTGACCTGTGAGGAGCCTGGTGGCACAGTGATAAACAGCTCGGCTGCTAAGTGAACAATTGGCAGTTTGAACCCGCCAGCCTGCTTCGTGAGAGGGAAGACCTGGTGATCTGCTCCTGTAAAGATTATAACCTAGGGGGCCCTATGGGACAGTTCTGCTCTGTCGTGTAAATACAGATCATAACCTAGGGGGCCCTATGGGACAGTTCTGCTCTGTCGTGTAAATAAAGATCATAACCTAGGGGGCCCTATGGGACAGTTCTGCT